ACACACACACACACACACACACACACACCAATAGAGTGGTTTTGTTTGAGAAAGCTTCCACTCATGCACCGAGCAGAATGCTGGCCATCAAATTCTCCTATTTCAAAAGTTGGTATTTGGAATTGTTGGACACAGAAAATGTTTTAGCAGCTTGGCTGGGTTTTGTTCAAGACAACCAATAACTTATAGTATCAGATCTGTCTTTGCCAACATGAGAAATAAAGCAGATCTGTCGATGAAATGATACGTGAGCAGAGAAACAGATGTGCCAGGAGAACGTGTGTCCGATGTCGGTGCTAACAGATTGGGTTTGTATGTACAGTATGCTTGCATCGTAAGGTTACCAGGTGAACATTTCAAGGTCACTTCTGCTTCTGAGACAGCAGCACAGCAGATCCGTTGACATACGTCTCCGACTTGGATGGGAACTGGCCCGAGATAGATGAGTCAAAGGTCAAGTCGTGGCTACTGCCGTTGAGACACTGGTAGGTGTGCAGACTTGCCAGGTCTCCCTCGGAGCCCGTGGTACATTTGAGTTTGTCGTAGTACGAGCACTGGCTGCAGTCCTCGAAGGAATGCTCGCTGCCACAGCCCGAGTGGCATGACGTGGTGCGCAGAAGTGAGTCCTGCTCACACGGCGCGTTGGAGTACTCAGCGTGAGCGCACTCCGTGTCACAGAGGTCAGGGCTGCTCCGGGGTGAGTCATGACCCCTACAGCTGGGAGCTGCCGGAAGTTCGGCGGCGGCGTGGGGAATTGTCGGAGCCTCACTGGGGTCTGCTGCCTGGAACCGGCTGTTCTGATACGTCTCTCCGCCAGATGGCACACTGGGGAGAGCCACGCTACTGCTGCTTGACCTTGACCTTGGGGGGTGACTGCGGGGGACGGGGGGGTGACTGTTTGACCTTGGGGGGTGCCCTGGGGGGGTCCTTGGCTTGGAGTTTGCCGAGTTGATCGGGCAGCGAGGTGGAAGAGGCGGGGCTTCGTGAATGACGCACTGAGTCTGTGTGGTGCAGCCGCCCGTCGAGGACGGAGATTTGGTGGGGACCCACGGGGGCCGGGCATGAATGACCCCGATAGCCACCGGCAGGACCCCAGGTGGCGCTGAGCGACGTTTTTCATTGGTTAACGAAGTCTCTGATGTTTTTCCAAATGTTTCCGAGGCACTGGAACTTTTCACCATGAGCTCCATGTCCACACTAGAACTGGACCTCCTGTTCCGTTTGTTGGGTTTTGAGCTGCTGCACACGGATGCTTGAGCTCTCTCCTCTCTCCGCACGTCCCCACCACGCACGTCCCCACCACGCACGTCCCCACCACGGCTACTCGCACGACTCTTTTTCTTCCTCTTTTTCTTTTCTTTCATGTTGTAGTACTTTTTCTCTTCTGTCTGAGAAAGTTTTGGGTTCGTGTTGCTCTCAGAGGTCCTAGCTCCTGGGGGCGCCCCGTTCTCTGGCACAGAGTCTGACACAATGTGAACGTCACAGCTACTCTCTTTGTTTGCCGGACGAGTGGACGCCGATTGCACAGCTGTCGTGTTGGCGTACAGCCGAGGGGGAATCTCCGAGTATAGAGGTGGCGCACTAGCGTTGTGAAACGGATCCTCTCCTGATCCCTCCTTGAATATGTCGGTATAGCGAGGCAGGTGAGGCTCCCCTATCTCCGCGTAGTCCGACTCACACGCCTTCTGCTCTCTCTCCACGGCCGCGTCCTCGTGCTGACCTTTCTCCGTGTCTGGAGCCAGCTCCCCAGAACCTTCGCACGCTGCAACAACAAACAACACAGCAACCTCAGCAATCCATTTCAAATAGAGGGATGGGCAATATCTATGGCGAAGTTACACTCTTCCAAAACACCAACAACCAACAAATTCAACATATTTCTAGCTCTTCACAGAGCGGAATCTAGCTGGAGAAAAGGGAAGTTGAAAAAATTATGTAAAACAAATACGTGTAGATAGTTCTTAAAATAACGTTTCAGTAACTTTATTCTGTGGTGCACTTCAAGAGAAGTAAACACTGAGAATGTTACACTTGGCAATATTTTCTGACAGACAAAGATACACAATTATGCTAATGTCATGTTTGTGACATTTTTTACAGCTTAAAGGACATTCCACTTGGCTTCAGCTATAACGTATCTAGAGTTCATCTTCAACAAAAAAACCCCCTCTCAAATTGAGTTAATTATTTTTAAAGTTTTCATAATGACACAGAAAACATTCATCATAATTCTCTTCAAGCACAAAGGAGCTTCAGTATTTTCCTTCTATCAGAGAAAAGACAATGTTGCAAGTGCCGTAAAACACTTATAAAAATAAACAAGAGAGAAGACAATGAGTTGAAGCAATATAAGCAGTCTGAAGCTTCAAGTTGTCAGGGAAAATCTGATTGGACAATATCCCAGTTGTCCATCTTGCTAGAACCAGGCTGTGGTGGACAATGGCTTTTTGGCCAGAGAAACAAACAGTGTACCGTACGGGAATCAAAGCCACCCTCCACACCCCCA